TAATCAGTTGGGTGGGAGAGATATGAAGAACTAGTTCATGATGGCGTGGCTGCTTCCCAATCTCCTCACAACCTTTCATTCCTTTGCCCTTGTCAATGGTGGGCATTGTAGGGCTAATCAATTGACTGTATGTGTTCTTCAGTTTTGGCTTTAAGTAGTTAGTGTTTGCTTTGGGCTCTCTCAGTTGGCTCTCGCAATTTGGTTCCTGGCGTGCCTCGCATTGCATTCTCAGCACCACAAAATATGGTATTCGATTCTCAGTCTGCTAATTTTCTTTACTCTTGGCAATCGGCCCAAGGGCTGCCTCATCTGCTTGGCGTTCATTTAGTACTCTTGTCATGGGTAATTGTGGAAAATCTTTTCTGGATTTTTTGGAAAGGAGACAGAATCTCAGGTGTGTCAACATGTTTTCAATTCGAAAGTTTAGAGGTTTTCTGTCAATAAAGCTCAGAGGCATATGAAACGAAATAATTGTAATTAGTGCAGGATTTTGATGACCTAAAACAATCAAATATGACAATAAATGCTTAAATAATGTTTATAAACAAAGAAAATGATGGTAAGAAATTCTGAATCAAAACATTTTAATAACAACCTCAAGCTGTATGGTGTATGTACTGATGCTGAGACTCTTCTTTTGTTTGTGAACTAGGCTCGCCTAACTTTGTTTGGAGTGTTTCATGAAACATGACTTTTTTTATCAGAATCGGCTGACTGACAATGGGTGATAAGATTCACAGAAGCCTGTGGGTAATAGGGTGAGAAGTACTTAAGATAGTAGGAGATATATTAATTAGTGGGGGAGGAAAATCAAAATAGGTATAGGAATTCTGTGCTGAGTGTTTTGTTGAACGTTGCAAAAGATTGTTTTGTGAGAAGTACATTAAAAAATATTAAAAATTGGTGAAAACGTGAAAATGCATTAAAAATTACATCAAACGTAAATAAAAATGATTTATTAGTCGACATTGATGACAAATGCAAATAAAAAAGCAGACTTCAAATGGGTAATTTTGTTTTGTCAATAACCTATAAATGAATTTCTATACTAAATGGATTGTTTGGCTTTTCTATTAAAATCACCCCTATTTGTATAATTTTCAAATAATTTCCATTTTAATGGTGCTCATCACAATACGTGGTAAAGGTAGATATTTTAGATTAAAGTGGTTAAAAGGTGAGACCGATGATGCGTGTTCAGATAAATAGTGAAAGGCTCAAGAAAACCAAATACTTTCTTCTGGCTGCATTAGCAATGATGGGTCCCTAATGTGTCAATGAGCCTAAATCTTGTTGACTATTTTCTCAAAAATTGATATTTCCTCAACTGATCAGGTCAAACTCAAATCCATGAAAATGTGAATTGGATATTTCGATTTTTTGGAATTGGACATGATTTCACAGAAGTCTTTTGTTTTTTCAAAAATGGCTCAACATTTTTTATTTAATTTGTATTTCTTGAATATGCCAAGTAAGCTTAAAAATGGTCCAGGTATCATTTTGGTCTTCCTACAACACTGAAGATGAACATATTTTCCATTAAATAAATACGTTTACGTTCTTTTGAGACAGATCTTTAAATAAAGTAGTGTACAATTGTCCGAAAATATGTAGTTTTCGCGTTATTTCGCTTGATTAGTTGTTCAGGGCATGTCAACCTTTAAAGCGATTAATTTAGTAAGATAGGGGCACGTTTCTTTTCCTACGAGAGTTCAAGGTTACCTTTCCTCGTTGATTGGTGAGATCTATCGCCGATCAACCTGTTGGCTAGCGGGTTCTCCCCCAACCAGGTATCTCCCACCTACGGGGCACCGCCCCAGGCTCTCAGCTCCCTACATGTCTTCCTTTGTAGGTAGTGTAGTGCGTGTGAGTGTGTGTAAGGGGTGAGGTTAAATCAAGGAGGGGGAAGGAAAGTTCGTGCGCGGTACGTTGCCGGTTCGTTAGTGCTCATGCTGATCTGGCGTTCGCCAGGTGTGAATTGGAGAGAGCACGGAAATCTATCGATCAGAGCAGCTGGCCACTAGAATTCTCCTCTAGCTATGCAGTTAGTGTGGAAAATCCTGCCACCGCGGATCTCAAAGGACCTTCCGGTAAGAGACACTGGAGTGACATCGGTTGATCTCGAGGTACCTCTCCCGGTACGTCTTGAAATATAGGCGATTTTAAGAATTTCACAAAAGTAGTGGCTCCTTTTTCTTCAGTTTTTCTCCTCGGATAGAGCGAAGTGTGCTGATAGTAGATATCTGGTAAATTTTCTATTTTCGAAATTCGCCACAAAAAATAACACTGCAGAACTACAATACTGATGAGAGATTTTTCCCTGAATGAAATCTGTTTTTTAAAGATCTTGCAATAATGTCCATAAAAACTGAATTTTTCAACATTGTAAATGCAAATGCATATCTCCTAATATATACTCATTTATTTTATCACACCTTCAATCTTATACAAGTAGGTTTAAAACCTCACTGCAATTTCAGTCAGGTAGAGGAGGATTCCTTGTAACAGATTCCACTGCTCTATGTTGTTAGAGCAATTAGGGCAAATTGGCAAGTCATAGCTCAAACTGCTGAGTGGTGAGTCATAGCTCAAGGCCACTCCAGCTGCCTGGCTATTTAAACACACTATAGTCCAAACTACAATAATGGAGATGCTTGGATATCATGTTATCACAACATTAATTAGATCATTGGAATTACTACAGTCAACAGTTGTTCAAAGAGTTTACTGATTAGAGTTAAATAACAAAGTTAAACCATTTACAATGAATTTATAAATGGATAATTCGAAAAGAAATCAGATGTAGAAGCATAATATTTTGCACATGTCTGACCTTCCACTGTTTTTATACATACCAAAAAGTAGCAACATTTCTGAGCAATTTGTAAAAACTTAAGAAAAATAGAAATCCCATGTGAAAATTCATTCTAATTTCAAGAAAAATATTTCCCAAATAGTGTGTAGTTCAAAGAAAAGATTTTTTTTCATAGTAGCTCATCATTGCATACCAATGGCGGCAGGTGGATTGTTCCAGTCAGTTATTGTCCAGTTGGTAAAGGAGTATTTAAATACATCAGTTTTTTGCTTCCTGTACTCATTTTGTATGGATAATCCCCTCTTCCTAAATATTGAGGGTTCCCTCTCCTAGTTAGAATGTCATTTAACACTTCATATCAAGTATACACAAAAACACGAGACAATCTAGAGTATAGGCAAAATTACAAAAACACTAGTGTTGACCATGGATGAATGGATGGACAGACATTTTACCGTCAATCAATTTTTTAGTGTCATGGATTGTGACTACACATTGAAGAACCTTGTTGCCAAGGACTGGCAATACGAGTTTTGACAAAAATTTGCTCTCTTCCCCTCTGCATCATTACAATACTTTCTCTGTGTAAGCAGTATGCACGATAGTGAGGAAGATCAAAGCCAATGGGGCCATTTTATATACAGAAATAATTGTTACACACTAAAAATGGAGGATTCCGGAGTAAAATTTGGAAGGAATTACTTTATTAATATTTTACAAGTATTTTTGTAAATGAAGATGAAAAAGATAAAGTGACTTCGATCACACGAGAGGACTATTTCATATTCCAACTCGTCTAGGAACACTTGCTCTTATTGCGGCAATCTGGCAACTACAGAAAATATCTTTGACATCCCTTTCACATTCAGCGACCTTTGGGCAGTTATGTGTCCACACGCAGGCATTCTTTCAAGTAATGGCTTTCAATCAGTAAGAATATATGTTTAGTAAACAAGAATCCCAAAATTATAATTTTGAAGAACCATAATATTTTATTAACTTCTGTTAATTATTGTCAACAATTATTAATTTACTACTAATTAATATTATATAAATTTCTGTTTTCATTTTATTAAGATTTTCTTATTTCTTTGGTTTCCAAGTTTCAAGGCGTGCTAGAATTAAATGCTAAAATTAAATAAACTAATCGCAGTAGTAGTAATAGTAGTAGTAGTAGTAGTAGTAGTAATAATAATGACAATAATAATAATAATGATAATAATGATAAGGATATTGGCATTGATGTTTCATGTGACATTTTTCCCATCACTCTTTGAGCTGGAATTTTTGGAACAATTATTTGTTTAACATGACAGTTAATAAACCAATTAATCAGCTATTGCAGGGCCATCAGAAGAACGTGCATGTGAATAGCCTTCGCAAAGGTTTGGGGCACAAAGCGGTATCAGCTTACCGAAGTCACTTCTGTGACAGGTGGGAAGCAAGGGGGTGAGATAACTTCCATGAGAAAGTTGCTTCAAACACATGGGTTGGTATATCATAAAGAAGCATGTTTTGGAACTTTCAATGGAAATAGACATGTGTAACTGCAGTTTCTGTTTACAAGTATTGATTATTACTCCAAAGAAACAATAATGCACATTTCTACTACGAGAATACAGTATACGAGAACTATTAACTCTAATAACAAAGATCTCAAATTAATATTTTAAGGAAATAAATATAAACCAAAATATATACTAAATCAAGATAAGAATTATATAACATTACCAGAAAAAACTGACACTATTATTAAAAATAGACATTTAAAGAAATATGAGGTGCATATCTTTGAGGTGAAAATACACTAAATAAAAACACTTCAAAATTTAGAGGAATAATGAAGAGAGCAGAAAAATATGTAGAATGAAATATCAAAATATGTACATAAATATGTAATAAAAACAGTGAGAATACCTAAAATCATATATTATGTAATATTAAAATTAATCGCCTAATACAAAATTACATTTATCAAACATTTCCTACATTTAAAAAAAAATAATACACACTATTTAAAAATAATTTGGAGAGCACAAATTTATGTATATATTGCACCGTAAAACATCTCATTAGTAATAAAAGCTTCATCTATTGCTATCCAGGACAGTAGTTTAGGAGCTATACTAAACGCAATAGAAGACATTATACAAATTGGCGGTATTACATGTGCAACTTTTCTTGAACGATGGATTGAAGAAATGCGGGTAGAGTGGGGATATTAGTTACAAAATCAGCCACTAGATTTTAAGAAGCAATGCCAAGCTCTGGAGAATCAGTCATGTCTTCGCAACATTGTCAATAATTTGCGTTCTAACTTTCTCAAGAGTTCGAGGTATCTTGTGTGATAGATCTTTACCTGCGTCAGTCATTTCTTTAGATTCTTTGGAGACAATAACTGATAGAAGTTCTTGCTTACAAAAGAAAATTATTTCTATTTCTTGCCAATGAAGATGTGTTTGGAATGTTGTCATCAGTGCTAACTGCAAGCTTTTGCCTTCAACTGTTTATTGAGACAGGGAGGGGGAAGCAAGGTCATCATTCAAGCCCAAAAGTTGTGCGAGTAATATCTACGACCAGCAAACTATCACTGCAGAGTGCAGCATTCTCATCGGTGTTACATGGCGATAGGCCAAATTTCTTGGAACTTAAGGTTAAAGATCACAGTGCGGGCAAGCACTGTGTGCCTTTGCAGTAAGCAAGTGTGCTCTCAGCACGCACATCCTTAGTTTGACAGCCCTGAGTTACAGGTTCCCTCCACGTCTTCAAAATTACTGTTTTGTTTCTAGAGCATACTGATCCACTCCATAACTTAAGCCCAACCCACTCCAACCTGTCCTGCTCCCCCTTGCCTAGCCTGTAAGGATAGTATACCACCCTGTGAGCCAAATATCTGACCTTCATAAATCTTGAATGGGAAAAAACACAGTAATGGAAAAGTTGCAGTAGCTTATGACCTGACCCTCACCTCCTCCTCTGCCATTGCAATGTTCCAGCCACAAATGTCTTCTCTTGCAGCAAAGTATGCGGTTGTCAAATTATCACAACAAAACTGGGGTGCACCCAGACATGGGTTGCAAGATAAAATAAAGACCCTGTACTCTCTGCGTTGTAGGGGACAACAAATTTAATGGATGAATATCAATTTCCCCCCACTACTACTGTTCAGTATTAGGACAAATGAATTTAAAAAATTTGATTAACACGCATTATTGACAGAATAATACAGGAAAAACACCTATTAATACAGAGGAATTGTGTTCTAATCTCAAGAAAAATGTGCAGAATTAAATACAGAATGCTACAATCAGAATTAAATTACAACAAAAACTTTAAAGAGTTATTCCAAATATTATAGAAATAATGATCAAAAGTGCATTAACTTAGAATATTCACATATAGTTAGTTGCAGAAATAAAATTCAAGTGAATGAACTCACTTGATGGGCCCGGCAGATGAGGTCCAGATCGTGCCTGTTGAGGAATTTGCTGACCACATCAGCCCCGAAAGTAAAAGACACACCACGATCATTCTCTCCCCAGCCTTGCACATCCTTGTCTGGATCGGACCACAGTAGATCGCAGAGTAGTCCAGTATCAGGGACATCTGTTGGGCGCATGATGCGTCGAATTTGCTCCATGCCTTGCAGATCAGGGCTCAGACCACCATGACAACAAAATATCTTCTCATCAATAATGGCAGCAATGGGTAAGCAGTTGAAACAGTCAGTGAAAGTTTTCCACAGTTTGATGTTGTAACGTCGTTTGCCTGCAAAGAAAATGTATTCAGAATTGCATATTGGCATATGAAGGCAAGCAAATTAATGAAATGATATGAATGATTATTTTTATTCTAAAATAGCACTTTGAAATTTAAACAGTTTAACAAAAAACACTGTTTCAAGAAAAACAATTTTAAAATGTCCAATGATATTTTATCAGATTTCCTTCTTCTATAGGTAATCCGACAGGCTCAAAATTTAAATTGCTAATTTTATTAGGAAAGCATTGCAAACACTAGATAAAAAAAAAAGTACTCTGGAAAAAAAAAAAAAAGTTTCGCATTACCTTTAATTTTTTGTTGAAACAAGTTGAACACTACTGAATAAAAGTATAATAATCCAAAAAGTTAATGCATTTAATAATACTACTGACTATTTTTAAAATCGTTTAATGCTGCGCTAACATTTGTCATTAGTGTTATTAAGCTTTTTACAAAGTTTGAATCAGATCTATTCCGTACTTTCCACTTGTGGTGAAAGCTTTGCAACAACTGCCAGAAAATTAAGCCGATGAGTGTCAAAAGAAACGAGTTGAAAAATACTGAGTGGCCACACTGAAGTTTTCTGTTCCCAGGCATTCCTCTGAGAGTTCATCTTTCCCACCCACATACACAATTGACTATCGTTTATTCACATCACATAGTCTATCCTGTAGGTACATTTTGTGGACCCAAGTATAGAGCAGGACCTAGGCATGGCAGATCGTAGATACGAGTGTGTTGTTTATACATGCAATCTGATAAAGGAAATTGTGTATAATGCTCAAAAACCAGAGCAGGACTGGATCATGGACACAGATTCCAAAAGAGGTCAAATGAAGGAAGGTCTTGAAGGTTCTAATGTCATTAAAGTTGCGAGTTTCTCAAAATGTAACTCGAAGTTTTTTCATTGCATCATTCGCGGTCTTTAAATTCAGTTTGCAGTCAAATATTACCATCTTTGATGTTATTAACAGTTGTCAGCGGACAATCACTCAAGGAATACTGATAATGTATACGATTTTTAAGACTAGAAAAAGTTATTACAAAACATTTATCTGTATGTAGTTGCACCGCATTAGCAGTACATCTCAGATTCAAGTTATCGAGATCTTGCTGCACATGCCAAGCATCGTTCACATTTGAGGCCCCCATTTGAACTCCTGATACCACCACAAAAGACTTAAAACAAAAGCCATTTATAGACACATACTGTGTTTTACCAGTCAAATAAGAACTTATATAGAAGAGAAGAGATTTTTTCATGCCCATCCTGGACAATTGGCAAGTCAAAATGATATGATTAATTCTGCCAAAGGCTTTAGTTAAGTCAGTATAAATTGCGTTTACTTGGTAACCATCCTCAAATGTGATAGCATCAGCAATAAAGCTTCTAAAAACTGTCAAGTTTGTAATAGTTGATCAGTGGCTCTTAAATCCATGCTGATTTTCAGAAAGCAAATTCTTGATATTCAGCATGAAGAATTTAGTTAACAGCTTTTCAAACAATTTTGGGACAGCACTGAGGATAGAGAGCGAGTGTAATTTGCTAAGTCTGATTTACCACCTCTTTTAAGAATGGGAATCACTATTTGATATCCACAATGTACAAAAAAAATATCAGAGTGCAAAGATTGATTACAATGTATCCAAAGCAGTTTGCGAAAGTGAATATTTACATACATGTAAGATGTTCAGTACTAGGTCAAGGCCAGCTTCTATTCAGATTTCCAATTGCTTCAAAAACATCTCTCATGTTAATATCAATAGAATGAAAGTCAGTCGCACAATTAGAGTCCAAACCAGAAACAATAGAGTAATCTGGTAAGTCACAGAATTGTTATTGAAGAATTTAGAGAACAATGCATCTATGCATTGTCCATTGCTTTCGTGGCTTTCCTCTAGGTCCATGGTACAATAATTTATTCTGTGAGGTAGAATATCTGATATTCTGTATCTCCAAAATGCCCACGAATAATCAATGATGGACAATTCAGTTTAAGTAATAAATTTTTTATAGACCTCTTTGCAGTGATTTGCACTCAGATCTCAGTGCTGAAAATGTGTTGTATAGACCCGTAGTTCTGTAAATTTTAAATTGTTTGTAACATTTTTTTCTTTTCGCTTATCAAAGTTTTCAATTCAGCATTATACCATGATGGATATTTTGAATCACAAATTATATGTTTAGAAATACAAAGATTATCAAAAAATATAAAATGTCAAAACTGATCATTATCGTTAATATCACAATTTTTAAAGCACAAGTCCCAAATCAGTACAATTTTGACAGTAACTTATAGAATAATAATCTACCCCTGAGAAAATTGTAAGTCATTGTCGAAAACATTGAAGATGACTTGATCACCGATGGGAGCTCAAAAACAGAGAAGGGATGGTGTGCATCGCACGTTGACAGGGCATCAATACAATTCATGACAACAATGGAATCTTGGTTGGATAAAATTAAGTCTAGCATTGCACTATGTGAATTCACAACATTGTGCTGATGAACACTGGCAACAGCAAACACATCCAATAATGACCAGGCAGCATCAGCAATTAGTGAGAATGGTGACAATACTCTGAATCCATTCAGATCATTCCAACAGGCCCCAGGAAGATTGAAGTCCCCAGTAATCGGTGAAGATTGAGGTCAATGTGTCTCAAGAACTCCCAGAAGACGCTGCATAGCTGGCACATTTCTCAGGGCTGCACACCGGAGGAAGGTAAACCATCCCCAATAGCACCTTACCATCCACCCAAGAGAGTTGTTCAATGCCACGATAACTGTGTTAATTTCGATACAGTAAATGAGAGTCGTTAACAGCAATAAGAACTCTTATCACTTCTCATCCATTGGCTAGACCAAGAATCTTGGTCTCTTTGATATATCATGTCAATCAACTATGCCCAGGTCACAGTAGAGATGAGATTTATTGAGCCAAGTTTCCACCAAGATGGCATTAAAGTGGACTGTGGAAGACAACACAGCATTGTGCAGGACCAATAGTTTAATCCTCAAACCTCGCACATTCCAGAAGTAAATCTTTCAAATTACTGTGTGAAGTTGAAAACCATCTCTGAAATATCACGGGTTGTTTTTTGTTGTTGTTGGTTTTTTCCTTTCTTTTCTTTCTCTCTCCTATCCCGGTTGTTCACAGTTTGAAAAATGATGGCGTTATCATTGAAGTATTTTATTCTCAGGCCTTTCTCCCCCCCCCCCTCTGAGGTCTGGCCAGATCATTCCTCAAATGCTTCACATCGTTTTGTTGGTAAGGTGTGAGGTTATTGCTCACTTCAATGCCAAGGGGTTAGAGAAACTGGCTTTTAGAGGTGAAGGTCCACCGTTCCTTGGCCTACCAAATCTCTGCATATTCTTGGCAGCTGGAAAATTAGGTATGCTAATTAATACAGAATTTAAGTTCTCAAGATCATTGGGATGTTTGGAGTCTTGTTTGATGATAAAGAAAATTAAATTTGTTTCTCAGCGGCATTTCTCTTCTTAAGATACAATTCTGCCTCTGAGGTTGTGTTCTGTGGCTTGCTGCTTTTCCCTCCATGACCTTTTTCTCACTACATGATCGTAGACAATCCATTTTTCATTGCTGTCACCACTTGCTTCAAAAATGGATCATAATGTTGACTTTTAACCAGTGAACCACAGATGGATAAGTATACCTCGGTTAATTGATACCGCAGCCCAATATTATGAAGGCAAACTCCCAAGGGGCGTAAATGGTTTTCCAAACTTGTACGGGAAATTTTCAATTTTGCAGCACCTCCTGCATAGTTTGTAATGGATTTGAATCAACAATTGCCTTGTCATCACTAGAATCAATTTTGGTCACATGGGTCTGCATGTGGTGCATTGTTGACATTATGTTTCCAGAATGAAATTTTGCAAACTACTTGTGACATGTTCTGTTATAGCATCATCCTTGTATATTCGGTATATTCTTTTATCAGCGTCTTCAGCTCACTTGCCTTTTTTAAAATAAAACAATAAAATATGGCGATATTGCACGTTTGTAACATCCACCTTTAGTGCTGTGCTGCTAACACAAAACTCACATCTGTAAACAAAATTTTAACAGGAAGTTTCCATTAACACAACTTTCAAAATGTGCTGCTGAGTTGGTCACTAGACCCTGGATGGGGAGGGAGAAACACTGGAAACGTGCGCCAAAAGAGGAAAAGAATAAACTTATTGCCAATATGCATAATCAAGTTCAATCTGAGAAAAAAGTCTAGCATAATTCTTGCTTTTTTAAATTGAATTTGCCTTATTTTACGTGGCGAGACTCAGGCCAACAGGCCCTCTCTTCCGTCTGACCACACAAATTTCGCTACTCTCCTTTCATATACTAGAAGAGAATGGAGGTATTTCTTGGGCGAGAAACAGGCGATTTGAATTTAGCTCAGAGGCGTCATTTAGGCTTGAGGATCTTTTACATGCAAGTAAATCTACTAACATGGGACAGCCGGCTTTACTTCCCCTCCGAAGGAAGGTGTACGAAGGATTTTTTCGCCCTTAAAAATCCACGGCTTCGATCGGGTTTGAACCCGCGAACTTGTGTACAATAGTCCGGCTCGCTAACCGCCACCGCTTTGTTCATATCAAAAAACATTCTTAGTATATTTCTAGGTTTCAAGTTTGTCATACCCACTGGTAAATAGTTATTACAATTTGAGATCATAATCAAAGCTGCTGGTGTAGCCTGATAAATTGACCTGGAATATGGACCTTTAATCTGTATACCAAAAATATACGAGACTTCTCTACACCGAAAATACTTCAAATGGTCTGATTTCATATTGACAACACATGCCTTAAAATATTTTTTTGGTTTTATGAATAAGATCAAATTAATGCTAAAAATTTGCAATCATTAAAAATGTTTTAGGGACAGACACTTGATTAAAAAAAAAAAAATTATTTGGACTGGAATGGAGAAAGAAAAGGGACGAGTACCTAAAAAAGACCATTTGTGACCAAAAGACACTGTGTGATGTCAAATAGTTTCATCTTATTCATTTCTCATTTGAACAATCAAATATTTGCAACTCTAGCTCTAAATCAAAAGCATCAGCACACATTTTTCTGAACTCATTCTCAAGTCGCATTTTTAACTATCTCAAGTCGAAAATTTAACTGATTTTTTCATTGAAAAATTGAAGTTTACATTTCCATACAACGTAAATTAATAAAATTTGATCAAATCAATTTTTTAATTTAGTTAATCATGTATTTCTTTTATTCTAGTTATTCTAAATCAAGATTTTCCAAAAAATTTCTAAAATAATGGGAAAATCGTAAAATTATAGTACAACTCACATTCATCATAAAAACCATATATCCTGTTGATGCTGGCACATTCATGATTTCCCCGCAAGAGGAAAAAATTTTCTGGGTACTTTATCTTGTAGGCAAGGAGAAGACAAATTGTTTCAAGAGACTGCTTGCCTCTGTCAACATAATCCCCCAGAAATAGGTAATTTGCTTCAGGTGGAAATCCTCCGTACTCAAAAAGGCGCAGAAGGTCTGTATATTGACCGTGAATGTCTCCTAGATTATCAAAACCAGAAATGAATGTCAACATTAATGCATGGCTTCCACTTCTCAAAGACTAGTCAAAATAAACACCATCAAGAAATAATTCTTACCACATATTTTAAGAGGGGCTTCCAACTCCAAGAGAATGGGTTGTTGCAAGAAAATTTCCCGAGATTTCAGGCAAAGCCCTCGAACCTCTGCTTCCGACATCTGCACAGTTTTGCCTGGCCGACATCCTCGAACTAAGACAATCAATACAAAACATTCTTGGGTTATGAACAAATAACTTCAATTAGTAACACTCCAATACACAAGAAAGTGTGAACTAGGTGAAGGTGTTTTCACTTCTTATCTCAAACGAGATGGTACCTCTCTTTCTGACACTTAATGAGAAACACCTTGAACTTCCATTACATTCAAGTAATCAACTTTACAACTTCAAAATATACGGGTGACGGCGTTTTCAACCTATAGAATAGTAGTGTAAACCAAAAACACACGCTAAATATAGTTACCTTCAAGAAGTCTTTGGATAAGACTGTCGACGTTCAAATCAATCTCCGCCATATTTGTTACTGCTCGCTTCACAAGAATACGTATATGCGGATTAAATAAGCAGCTACTTTCATGGCCCCGCTTACGCAATTGGCCAGGAGAACCAGCGCTGCTATGTAGGGAATCGCTGAACTACATCCAGACAAGATGAAGACAGAAGGAAGACGTCAGAAGCATTCAATTAAATTTAGAACGAAGTACCAAACAATAAACACACAGTTCGTGGTACATACAGTACAGTACATACATTCGGCACCTACTATTAAAAGAAATATTGCTGCAAATCAAGACCTAGTTACGAACTTGATTAATAATTGTTCATTATTGTTTGAGCCATTAAATATTTTTGCCGTGTAATGCCGGCAATAACCCAATATGAATAATACCGAAAAAATACAAAACACTCAAACAATAAAAACCACAACAAACACACCCACACTATTACACCAGCGGCAAGTACAATACACTCAAGTTATTTAAAATAATATTTTGCATTCCCAGAAAGGGGTGGTCCATATTTTAGTATCACGTAGTAAAGCAAATTTGGAGTATTTTGGACACTTCCCTCCCCTCGTTACGCAAGCTTTACCCCCACCATGACCCCAAATAATTACGTAATACTTGCATCAACCGTCTTATTCAGAATAAGTAAAAGTTATTTGTATCTAAAGCCGACAACTTCACTTTCAATGACTGAGTTTATTTTCTCGCTACGACGTAGAGAGAAAGTTATATAATGCTGCGCGAAGAAACAGTGTATTTTCGTAGAAAAACACTTATTACAGGGCCCTCGGAGAGACAAAGAGGATAAATCCAGTTTCTAAATTTAGAAAAAAATCCTCCAACATGTGTAGCCAGAATCCATATTTTGTGGGTCCTTGTTACCGAAAAATCAAATGACGGCAAACGTCTGTCCGTCCGTCCGTCAGTCTGTCTCCCTGTGAACAATACTAATGCCTAAACCGTTCAGTTTCCCAATCCATATTCCCCAATCAATCTGGTTGATGTCCCAGCCTCTTGAATTTGAAACCGATTTTTTAATTGTGTGTGTGTGTGTGGGGGGGGTACTTAACATGAAGCCCCTGGGACATTTCCAAATTTTCAACAACAAAAATGACTCCAACATTTAATTTTTATTGTTGGATAGTGTGAAGTACGTTTAAGAGAATAGTGGAGGCCTCATATTCGTTAAAAATCTTAAGTTTTCAAAAATTGCACAAATTTTTTAGGAGTTTTCCTACAACTAAAATATTAAAGAGATACTTTTTCCCTCAATGAAATCTGTTTATTAAAGATAGATTTTGAAATAGGTCATTACAATTTTTGGAAAATTTGAGTACTTTTCGCTAAATTTTGCGTGAAAATTCCGACGAAAAAGTACGTAATTTTTAAATTTTGAACAACTATATTCTCAAAAATGGTATCCATTTCTTTTATTAATTTTACAGATGTAACAAATAATGGAAAAGAAAGCGGTGCTAATTTCATGTTTTACGCACTCAATGCATTTCCAAAAAGTAAAAATTAAAAAATCGAAATAGTAAATTCAAATTTCCCGCGCTTGTTTGAGGCTGTATATAATAACGCCATCGGTCATAAGCGTCACTATAAAATAACCTTAATTGAACTTACCCAATTAAGTTTTCTCACTTTTAGAATACGATTTATGTGTAATATGAAAGAAAATACGGCAATGGATATTTGAGTGTTACAATGTCCTCTACGTTCAATAAAATGATATATTCAACTATAGTGACGTAACAGTACACGTACAGTAGTGCAGCTCAGCCCATTTTGGGATATACGAGGATATATATAACGCTGCCTCTGACGTAAATCAGCTGTTACGGTGCCCTTCAATCGGAAGGTTGAACGTCACCGTCATGATGTCACTGCTGTGACGTGTAAGCTCCCGATTGGATGACATCAGTCAGCTAATAACCTATCAGAGGCATCAGTAAATAAATCTCAATATCGTTAGGGATGCGGGCGCCAATGAGCTCTAGAGTAGTGAGCCTTATGAGCTTTTCCGGTATATGAACATGGCTTAGAACATGGCCTTATGAGCTATGAGCTTCCGGTATATGAACATCCCCCTGTTTTTGAGATTTCAAAACTGTTTTAAATACTCATTAACATATTTTTTCGAAACAACGATTACATTAGCATAATAATACAGCGAATACATTACATATTTACCTAAAAGCATGGTGAATATTTTTAGAAATTATTCTTTGTAGGAAGAAATACGTTCGGCTGTTAGATCAGCCGCGGCTGCGGTGCCACATGCTTCGGTTGCCGTATCAAACTGTGCTCAGAGAGTTCGCTTTCCGGTTGTTTACCTGTGTGTTTATTTATTTATTTATTTATTTTTATTATTTAAGGTCGGATCAATTTCTAGGTCATTAGCGACCACTATTACGTTTAACTGCAGGGTAAATGTACATACCACTAGTCGTTGAGAAGAACCTGATTCGACGAATTCCAGGACTTGGGATGAAGCGAAGAATATCGCTACAGAATGGGTGGATTCCTACTTACTACCTCTATGGCGGAGCCAAAATGAGTGAGAAGCGGTTCTACACAGATCACGGAATCATCGATGGCAGAACCATCATTGTAAATGAAAGTGATTACTGATTGGTATTGGTTGCTCTTACAAGGTCTGTCCCAAAAGTAAGTTGAATAAGTCCAAGAAAAGAGATTTATTGCAGATAAATAAACAAGTAACTAAAATTCTTCAAAGTAGCTTCCTTCCGCGTCGGAACACCTGCGCCAGCGTTTTTCCCAGTCGCTAAACGCACCCTGGAAGGCGTCGATGGAGACCTCCTTCAAGCACCTCGTCGTTACTTCTTTGACGGCTTCCAAAGTCCCGAAATGGTAGCCCTTGAGTTCCTTCTTGATCCTCGGGAACAAAAAAGAAGTCTAGTGGTGCCAAGTCGGGGCTGTACGGCGGCTGGGGCAAAGTTGCCACGCTAAGTACTCCAAGCGTGGGCGTTTCGCTAAGTACTCTCTAATATTGAAGGAGGTGTTCGACGGCGCGTGGTCATGGTGAAGACGCCAAGTGCTGGCGATCTCCTTCCTGACGCGTTTCATTCTGCTTTGGAGCCTTTTCAGGACTTCCAAGTAAAAATGACTGTTCACTGTTTGTCCTTGTGGCACAAACTCTGAGTGGACAATGCCTCTTTTGTCGAAAAAAAAGATGAGCATGGCCTTTACACGGGACTTGCTCATTTTCGCCTTTTTGGGCGCGGAGAAGCTGGCCTGTGCCACTCAGCACTTTGTCTTTTGGTCTCCGTGTCATACTCGAAAACCCATGTTTCTTCACCCGTAATCACATTATCCAAAAAATTCGGATCATTTTCACACTGCTCCAAGAGGTCACGCGAAATCCTTGCACGAGCAGCCTTCTGTTCATCGGAAAGAACCTTGGGGACCATCTTCGCACAGATCTTCCGCATGCCCAAATATTCAGTAACAATGCGATGCACAGTTCTTTTAGGGATATTACACTCATCTGCCAGCATTCTAACACTCAGGCGTCGATTAGAGTTCAGCATGTCCCTCACTTTCTTCACATTTTGATAGGAATGTGATGTTGACGGGCGTCCAGAGCGGTCTTCATCCTCGGCGTCCTCTCTGCCCTCTCGAAACATCTTGTGCCAGCGGTAAACCATATCGTTGGACATGGTGCTATCGCCATAAGCTTCCCTTACCACGGCAACGGTCTCAGCGCCCGTTTTCTTGAGCGCAACACAGAATTTTATTGCGTAACGCTGGTCCTTGAAACGTGGCATCTTAAAATTCCGACGCGTCAATAACACAAGGGTTCAAACTAGCAGCGTGTGTGAAAGTGTGATGTGTGAAAGACACATCTCCGCGCAATACGCCCTGAGGAAGGTCGCAGAATGGCGACCGAAACGTCGTCACCTTCGCCATGGACGCGGCGTCACCCGGACAGCCTAGTAAATACTGACTCCGGCCGCGGAAGCCTACGCTCTCACATGAAAATATTTGAGGTGTATTAACGAAGTAGTACTTTTGGAGATGTTTAATAGCATCCGGTCTAGGCGGTATAAACGAGTTTCCACACTCGGATACCTACTAGCCTTGAGGTAAGGTTTTAGATGATAAGGGAGATTAACATTTAGGTTCTCCAGCAATATCCGAAAACGGATACCTGGAGGTTTGAGCAGTGATGGCATCACAGCACACTACTATGAATGGTGGTTAAGGAACAGGATAACCTGGCGGGTAGGATGATTCATGAGGGCAGAAAGTTTCTCAGCATAAGCTGTAAATAGTGTCGCGTCTTCTGCTCAACGATAGTTGCCAAGAGACACTCAATGAGACTGGTGCGGTATGCACCAGTAGCTATGCGGTAGCCAACCTTGTGTGGATGGTATTTAACGGGTGTAAGGTTGAGAAGGGGCCAATCCAGCGCCGCTTTAACGCAGGGGCGAACCCGGCGGCCGCCGGGGGCCTCGAAATATTAAAAACAAAGATGCCGTTCAAGAATTATATATTATAATTATTTATTGGTAAAATATCAAGTTCACTGCTTCATTGTAATAATTTCAAATATCAAAGTCGAGCCTTTTTTTTATCTTTTGGTCAATGCGTTAACCTGCTGCTCTGAAACAATAAATTGGCCCAACTGGCGTCAGCAAGCCTGAGTGCTCGGATCACCGCTCCCGGCTGCGACGGGAGTTATCGTGGGAAGACTGTCATTTGTGGCGGGAAAGGGAGGTGTAGAGTGAGTATACTGGGTAGGCAGCGCCTTTGGCGAAAGGGCAAACTAATAACTTTCAGAACGGTTTGAGGAACGCATTTAGTGTATCGCGGACTCGATGACGAATTCCCAGTGAGGGGAAGATGCGAATTGGACGCAACAAAGGCGTTGGACTTTCATAGTCATTTTCTTAATTACAGAAACTGTTTAATATTAATTAACATGTAAACAAACATACAGATTTCATTAGCTATTCAAGCATTGTTCATAATTGAAAAAAAGGTTCTAGAAGTACAATACAGTAAAAAGTCAAATTAAGTACATTTTGTAGTACACTTATTTGATCCAAAATAAATTTCAACTGGTTGAAGCCACATACATCTACGAAAACGCATATTTATTCTATTTTTAATGTCTGTATTGTTTTCTCTTTTTAATCCTTTGCTACGCG